CAATATACCTGCTATACGGTAATAGCTCAAAATGGCCGATTTTATCTTGGCGAATGGCTATGAAAATGCCAAATTCACGAAATTTAATTCCCTCCAAAATTTTTCACTATACAGTATGTGTACATGTACATGCAGGTATCTAAAATAATAGTAGATGTAATTTACAATGTACAAGAACATAAGACAAGAATATCCTCACCCATTCATCATCATCAACCTCTCCTCCTCCTCCTGTTCCCTGGCTGGGTTCATCAGTTGATTTGTGTCCGAGTACCTTATCAGTCCAACTCTGTCCTGTCTTCTCCCCTCCAGTGTAGTTTGATGAGTGAGCTCGCTGATCACTATCCAGCTTTGTGAATGACTCTAGGAAGAGAAGAGAAGAGAAGAGAAATACATGTACATGTACATACATATAGATGCATGTAAATGCATGTACATGTTGATGTGTTATACAGAACAAATAAAACAAAGGAGAAAGAGAGGGTGTGTGTATGTGTGCAATCTGTGCATACATGTACATGTACATTGTGTATGTAAAAGGGAAGAAAGGAGAATATTAAGAGATCTGGTGAGCAGCTACAATATACCGTACAAGCTGATTTATTGGCGAGGAATTAATAATTGGCAATTGGCGGATTTATGAAGAAATTGCCAAAATAAAATCCGCCATTTTTGTTTAAATCTGAGCATGCTCAATGGAATGTGGCACAAAATCACCAATATAAAATTCACCAATTAACTTTCCACAGGCAAATTCACCAAATATTACTCTCACCAATAAATCATCTTGTACGGTACTAAAAGTACATGTAGTTCCTCCCTCACCTATCAGTAGAGAGTCTCCTCTTGTCTTTAGTCTAATTCTTTGTCCTGGGCTACACTCCACATGATCGTAGCTCTCATTCTCTCCCCAGAAACAAATCGACTGAGAATGACTGCCTGTCTCAAATCCAACCAGATCAGAATGAACTCTTTCACACACACTTCGGCATAACTCAATGTGTCTGGCGTTCCCTTGGCAACAGTTTCTATAGTAACAATGAAAAAAAAATAGCTAACATGATAATATCAGTAATGCAATAGCTGTATCTGCCCTTAGCTTCATCTCAAGCAGATATCTCAGTCCTCAGGTATTACATTACTTATACACACACACACCTCCAGACACACTGGTCACTATATGTATATACATTATGACTTCCAATTCTTACTGTATGATGAGTTTAGTCAGGCGGGCCTGATGAGTTGAGGTAGCCGGTTTTTATTTTTGCCGTTTGTCCAAAGTTAGGTTCAATTTCTTTGCCTTCAACGTCAAACTTTATCTGGCAAGCACCATCAAATTCAATATGGAAGAGATAAAAACGATAACAACAATAATTTAAACAGAGAGAAGAGCACAGAATATCAGTCAATGGATTGTTGAAGCCATTTTTTATCATCCACGTGTTTGGAGTATACGGAGTTATACAGGATCCCCGTATTTTTAAATCACGTGTAGGCTGGTAAAATTACAACTGAGAGCTATTGGAATTTTTGTAAAGGTGTGTCCTGTAGTTTTATTTAATTTATTTATTGTAGGAGGGACACTCTCAACCTTTGTTTGGGGTACAGTTCAATCCTTTTCTTCCTGAGAAGAGAATAGAAAATCTATTTGCTACAGTTGGAACCAACAAGGTGGGTGGGTTATTGAATAATTGAGCTAACCACACCCACTATTAATTAACTAATAATTGAAATAACATCGTTAGCAGACTAAAATATTTTGCTGGTGAAAAGTATCATTGTACATACATGTATATTTTGTTTGTCAAATAAAATATACATGTACATGTATATTTTGTTTGTCAAATAAAATATACATGTACATGTATATTTCATTTGTTAAGCTCATTTCCAAAATTATGAAAAATGATCTTGATGTACATGTACATTATTATTTATGTTTTACCGTATATTGGGATATTTTTGCGTCGGTAAATCTTTGTGAATTTTACATTTGTAAGATTTCACAAAATAATATTTTTGCGAATAGCTTGTAAACTCCAACACATGGCAATGGAAATTCAGAATTTCACGATTTTTATTTTCGCGACAGAGCAAGAAAACGCGAAATCCGCAAAAATTTGGCTACT